CTGGTAAAGTCTCAAGGAATTGGAAATAAGGTAGTAAAGACAGTGTACATTGCTAGCCGTAAAAGAAGCAATAAAACTTCGGAATGACCCTATTGAATAGCAGTTAAACTTGCAGTTCTTTTTTGAAAAGGAGTAGGAGCAATTGCACTAGTCTATTCCGTTGAATCACATGTACTTTTTGAAGAACCATTATCCTTTGTTCTTTTTTTGCCACCATTTTTGCTGAAGGTCAACTCTTCGAAAGCCCTTGAAAGTTACCAGGTTGAAGGCACCCACTATTGTATGTCGAGTTTGATACATGAACAAAAAAAATCTGCCTCACAATTGAAGAACACAACCTCAGCGTTTCTTATGTATCAGTCATTAAAACACTTTAAGTTTAATTTTCTCAGCCTAAAAATTGCGCATATGCTTGGTTGATGAGCTGCATGCTAATGAATATACAAATCTTATTACTAAATGTCTTTCCATAAACACTGAAAACTCTTAACGAGTTGCGACAACACTTGTTTTTTGATAGACTTTCGAACATATAGAGAAAGTCTGTTATTCATAGTGGTGCTTGGGGATGCGTTTTTACGAAACGGCCGTGTCAGTCCAGTCAAAGCCTGTTGTCAACAACACTCTATGAGCTGATGTTATGTCCTCTCTTGCCTAACTAAGTCTTGTCGCTGGACAGAACAAAGCTTTGCTACTTGTTTCTCTTAAATAAGTGTATCATCTAGTGGTTTTTTGAATTTGTGTAAATGTCCCGGTGTAATTGAGATTTTTTGCATGTTTTTTGCAAAATTGCTTATCTTTGGTTTTAGATGGGCTGGACTCCGCTAATGATTGCCGCTTCCGCTGGTCGCGTTGAAGTAGTGCGATATCTGCTGTCTCTTCCTGAAGTAAGCTCAGTACTTCGCCCATTGGATTTCTTCTGGAGCAAACTTTTCATTTTTAATGTTTAATTAAGTTTTTCTTTTATTTTTAGGTTGACGTCAATCATAGGAACAATAATCGACAAACAGCACTCCATTACGCAGCAAGTAAAAATCATGCAGAGGTAATCACTTTTTGATTTTTTAAATGGTTTTGAACTGATTGGGACTTGGATAAAACATCACTTGCAAATAGATGTGAGAATGGTTTGTTTTAGTATTTCTATATAGGTTAAGTTAAAGGAAGTAAAGGGTCAGTTCTAATTCCTTAGTTAGAATACACACCTTTTTACACAGAAATTTATTTCGTCCAGAATCAAAAATAACGACTTCTCATTTGTTTTTGCAAAGTGCAACATGCATCCTTTTTTTTATCTCCCTTCGTTATCACCTATCAATTTGGATGCGGCAAAATTCAAATTGCCTGAAACTCACTTAATGAACGTCCTGTCGAGGCAATACAGATAAAAACTAACTAGATAAGGGACTTTTGCAGTAGAAATAAATACATATCCATACGTTATACACAAAAGTTCGGTCTGTTTTTGTTGCAATAATTGCGTCTTTAGAGGAATTTTGCGCGTTTGTGCCTTTTTACCAAGATTACTGTTTTGTTGCGGGCTTAATAGCTTGTACACATGAGAGGAAACGAAAACATGGGCATCTTTTTTCCGTCAGTCATCTGAACTCTGTCTAAGCTTATCTTTCCAAATTACTCTGTACTTTATGGACTAAGCATGACATGTTCTGTTTCCATCACTTCGTCTAAGCTCCGTAAATAGGTTACTTCTCAAGATTGCACTTTTGAAAAAAGGCCTTCAAAATCATTTACGCTGTGACTGAGGTGTTCTGAAGGATTTTGCTAAAGGGTGAAAGTGTTTTTTTTTTGGGTGATGGAGTTGTAACTGTGTCAAAGTGTATATTTCTAAACAACCTTTTAGAGCGTAGTTAATGATGAAAACGTCGATAAATGTAGCCTAGATGATACTAGAGCATACCGCAATGACATTGTACAAAGGTTTTTATGGAATTTTTCACTTATAAAGTTGAAATTTGAGAGAAATAGACGTCCTGGATTGCACTGAACGCCATACTGATGCATGGATAAGAATCTGAAAAGAATTGAAAGCTATAGTAATCAGGACTACTTCAATTCATAGTTTTTTTACATTTCCATGATGTGTCATATCTTGATATATTTTTGCCAATAGCTTTCATAATTAGATAATACGTGCAAGTAGCAGTTTTTAGCTTTTTTTAAAGCTTTTTAGCTTTTCTAATACAATTCCCAAACTCCTTTTCATTTGTGAATCAACAGTTTTCCTAGCTCTAAGCCTTTCAAATTTGTTTACTCCACCTGCGGTATAACTGTCAGTGAGTTATGTGCCATCTTT